CGTGTCCCTTTCGGCGTCCCTCCCGCCACTCTGCGACCCCAAGGACGGCAACTTGCTGATGGACGGTGGTTACATCAACAACCTGCCAGGCACCCCCCCCGCCGCTCCGGCCCCCCTCGGCACCGGGGCAGCCGGGTGGGCACCACGGCATCCGGCGCTGCCTAAGCCATCTCCATCCTGCACTGTTTCTTGGTGTCCTCAGCACCCTGGTGCTCTCCATGCTCATTTTCTTGCGAGCCGCCTCCATCTCGTAGCATCTCTCAGTGCTCAGGTGCATCGTGGCACTTCGGTGCGTCTCGGCACTGAGTGCCCTCCTGGGGCATCCTCGGAGCTAGGTGCATCTCAGTGCTCGGGTGCGTCCCGCCACAGATGCATCCCCGTCTCCCTCGTGCCCGCCCTGGGTTGCATCGCTGCTCCCAGCCACCGCATCCCGCCACCCACCGCTGGCACCCGTGGGACTCCACTCATCATCTTGCCGGATGCCACTGTAGCTTTGCTGGCCGCACGGGGCTTGGGGTGCCGCCTGTGCTGTCTTTGTTTTCCCTGCTCCACTCTCATTTTGGGAATGTGAGAAACTGGGGCGCTGCTGAGCCGTGCCGGGGGGAGGTGAGCTGCCCTGACACCTGCTTTTCTCCTGTCCCGCAGCTGACATCGCCCGCAACATGGGTGCCAAGACGGTGATTGCCATCGATGTGGGCAGCCAGGATGAGACGGACCTGTGCAACTACGGTGACAGCCTCTCAGGCTGGTGGCTCCTCTGGAAACGTCTCAACCCTTGGGCTGAAAAAGTCAAGGTGAGGACTGGTGCATCTGGTGGTGGGGGCACCCTGGGGTGACAGGGGACCCTGCTGAGCGTCTGGCCCCACAGGTCCCCGATATGGCAGAGATCCAGTCGCGCCTGGCCTATGTGTCATGCGTGCGGCAGCTGGAGGTGGTCAAGTCCAGCTCCTACTGCGAGTACATCCGGCCCCCCATCGACCGCTTCAAGACCATGGATTTTGGCAAGTTTGACGAAATCTATGTGAGTTGGGAATGGCGAGGGTGGTGGTGGGGTGCTTGGGCCATTAATGGGGTGCCTAGGTCTTCATTTGGGGTGTCTCAACCTTTAGTTTGGGGTGCCCCAATATTAATGAGGTGCCCAGACCTTCATTTGGGGTGCCTAGGGCATTGATGGGGTGCTCAGGTCTTCATTTGGGGTGTCTTGGCCTTAATTTGGGGTGCTCCAACCATTAATGGGGTAGCCGGACCTTCATTTGGGATGCTCAGGCCATTGAAGGGGTGTCTTGCCCTTCATTTGGGGTGTCTTGGCCTTTGTTCAGGGTGCTGAGGCCATCAGTTGCATTGCCGTGGTCAACAGTTGGGTTGCCCAGACTGTTGTATGCGGTACCCCGACCATTGGTTAGTTGCTCCCGTCATTGTGTGGGTTGCCTAGATCATCGTGTAGGTTGCTCCAGCCCTCCTGTGGGGTACCTAGGCCCCTAGTTGGGTTGCCTCAGCCAGCGGTTGGCTGCGCCTGCTCTCCCCACAGGACGTGGGCTACCAGCACGGCAAGGTGGTCTTTGATGGCTGGAGCCGCGGCGACATCATCGAGAAGATGGTGAAGGACCGGCGCTCAGCCGACTTCTACATGCTCATGGACGTGAGCAGGGGGGAGTGGGTCTGGGGGGGGCCCAGCTGCAACACCCCGGGCTCTCCCAGGATGGGGCATCCCAGCCCTGGTGCCCCGATTTTTGAGTTTTTTCACCCCAGCTGCTCTCAGTACCTGGTTTTGGAGGCAGCTCTGGAGCTGGGAGCAGCACCCCAGTTCCCCCCCACCCTCAAGTCCATCTCCTGTCCTACCAGAATCTTCCCATCCCCTCCAGCATCCTTCTGTCCTCCATCCAGTCCATCTCTTGTCCCACCAGCACTTATTTCTTCCCTCCGGTCCATCTCCTGTTTCCTCCGATGTTCTCCTGTCCCCTCCTCAGTCCGTTTCCTGTCCCTCCCAATGTCCTCCAGTCCCCCCCCAGTCCATTTTCTATCCCCCTTGCCCACTCTGTTCTTCCTCTCTCTCATGTCCTCTGTGTCTCCTTCATCCCCTCGTCCCCTCTCTGTCCCCCCCCCCATCCCCTCCTTGGGGACAGCTCTGGGCGTCTCAGGACCCCCTTTTCCTCCCCACCCAAAGGTGCTGACGAGCCCCAGCGCTGGCTTCACGGACCTGGCAGAGATCGTGTCCCGCATCGAGCCCGCCAAGAGCTACCTGTCGGACGGTTATGCGGACGGTGAGCAGGGACAGGGGATGGGGACAGGGAGGGAGACACGAGGGAGCCACCCCGTCATCCTCTCTCTCTCGTGCCTGCAGAAGAGTCCGACTACCTCACTGAGTACGAGGAAGAGGGGCTGGAGGTGGCACGGGGTGAGGAGGAGGCCTTCACCCCCGCCGAGTGGCCTGGGGCCTCCGAGACAGTGAGTGCATCCATGTAGGCTTGGGGACAGCCTTACACCTATGGGTGCTGTGTCACATTCCAATCTCATTACCTGCGTGTCCCCCAGTTCCGTGCAGGCTTGGGCACAGCATGGCACCCGCGGGGGGC